GTAGACATTCTTAATTCAATCACTGAGGCCAAAAAATGTGGAGTACACTGATTGACTTAACCTAGGTCATATGCTGTACCCTTAAAGCAAGAGGGTGAGTCAGCTTCCTTAGAGCTACTTTGATCTCCAGAGGGAAGTCTGTTGGGAAAGGGCAAACAGATGTTATGTTTTCACTACAAAGTGCTTAGCACAACATATTCGTTCTTTACCAGTTATTTGCTGAGCATCTGCTAGATGCCAGGCACTGCATGGTCTTTGCCATCAAGGAGATTCCTCTCCACTTGAAACTGTTAGAGGAACATGGGTAGCCAAATGCAAGTTGTTTATAAAGGTACTTTCCCAAGATTTGGGGTTTAATATTTGTAAGTAAAAAAAAGTGAATGATAGTAAATTTTTGATAATCATACAGTAGGGTCTAAATTTTTCCTTATTTAAGAGAGAGCATTTTTTAAAATCAAACAGATTACAGTTATAATAGAATCTGAACACCTTACATTCCTCTTATGTATTTTTTCCAAATGATTTTTTGTTTAAATATGAATTCGACCTTTTGTTACTATGCCGTCATTTTATTAAGGGCCCTCTGGAGGAGTCCCATATAGTTCTGATATTGAAATCTGCTTTGCTTGTATACTTCCAACTAATAAAGTGGTAGTATTGGCCACAGGCCTTGGAACTCACCTGCCTTAGTGTTATAGGCTATTTCTTACTTTTTAGAATTATATTCTTCATATTCTCTGATATACATGCTTTCCTAAGAAAATATTTTGAAACAAATTGGTACTGGGATCCTATATCAAAAGACAGTGTTTTTCTCACTCTCATCTGTAAATGCTGTTTGAGCTAAAACTAAAATTTTCTATGAGAGTAAAGTACAATTGAGTGTGTTATACTTTATTTACATATTTGCAAAGTGATTGAAGTAGCTATCTTAAGAACCATTTTAAGATAGTTAAATTAGCATTTTTTGGTGTGGGTCTTTCAACATAGATGTGTATCCTTTCGTATTCTGTGTATTCTTCAGTTCTTTCATGACTAATGTGCCAGTATAGTACCTTATACTGACTTGACTGTTTTAATTCATTTGTATAGAATTGAATATTGTACTAATTTACTATAGTTTCTTTTAAGTGTTTATAGTTTTGGTTTAAGTTAAGAGATTTATGAAATTGTCAAATTGGTTTATTGGCTAAAACTTAAGGAGTTATTCTGTTTCTGCTTTAAAAGTGTTTTTCTTGTTGTTGTTGTTACTGTTTTTTGTTTTTGTTTTCAGAGAGATAGAGTCACTCTGTCACCCTGGATAAAGTGCTGTGTTGTGATAGCTCACAGCAACCTCAAACTCTTGGTCTCAAGCAATCCTCTTGCCTCAACCTCCCAAGTATTTGCCACCCCCCTGGATAGTTTTTCTATTTTTAGTAGAGGCAGGGTTTCATTCTTGTTCAGGCTGGTCTTGAACTCCTGAGCTCTAGCAATCTACTTGCCTAGGCCTCTCAGAGTACTAGGATTAGAGGCATGAGCCACCCTGCCTGGCCAGCTTTAAAAGTGTTTTAAATGTTCAGTATAGGTCAGTTATTAACAGTTTATTTGAAACAGCTTAATTAAACAAGACTTATACCTACAAATGAGCATTTCATAGATATTCTCTCAGGAAAAAATAGTAAATTAATTTTTTTTAAATTTTTATTTATTCATTTATTGAGTCAGGATCTCACTCTGTAGCCCAGGCTGGAGTGCAATGGTACAAACATACCTTACTGCAAACTCGAATTCCTGGGCTCGGGCATCCTGCCTCCTGAGTAGCTGGGACTACAGGCTCACACCACCACTCATGGCTGATTTTTCTATTCTTTGTAGAGACAAGGGTTTCACTGTGTTGCCCAGGCTGATCTCAAACTCCTGGCTTTAAATGATCCTCCCACCTGGGCCTTCCAAAGTGCTGTGATTATGGGTGTAAGCCACTGTGCCTCATAAATAATTTATCAATATTTCTATATCTCAAAATTGTGGACCAAAATTTAGAAGTGAATATATTAACCCTGATTGTTGGATATGAAAATGTAAAACTTTATATAGTATTTGCATTTTTTATTTAGGAACAGATGTTGTCATTGTAAAGAATGGAAGAAGAATATGTGGGACAGGAGGTTGTTTAGCCAGCGCACCTTTACATCAAAACAAAAGCTACTTTGAATTTAAAATCCAGTCTACAGGTTCGTATAATGGTATTGTACTATTAAAAGTCCTAATTGTTATAAATAGTAAGAGTAATTTTTAATATATAAAAACAATTCAGGAAGAAATAAAACAGTAACCTGTAACTGAGAAGACATAGATTGTAGGTCTTCTCAGTAAAGGTTGTGTGATTGTGGTTGAATTAATTAATTTAGTTAAATTAGGTTCAGTTTTCTCATCTATAAAATGGGTATTACATGAGCTGCCTTTTCTGCCTTACAGCAGCTATACGTATGAAAGTGTTTTAAAGAAAGGACATGCTGGATAAATACAAGGCAGTTGTATTATTGAGGGATTGTAGATGCACTATCTTCCTTAGTCAAGCACGTAGGATCAAGTATATAAATAGCATACAGTCTTGCTGTTTACTTGAGGATAAAATCAGTCTTTTGATCCTGAGTTTTTTCTTTGAACTCTTGTTAAGATACCCTAATTCAGTGCCTTGAAGCAGTTGTCAGATTCAGAAGCCAGATAGAAGTCTAAAGTCTCTACTTCTCTTTTAAAAACGTTTAGAGTTTCTTGAATTGTACAGCAATTATACATGATTATTATAACTTGTGGCAGTATTAGATAATGGCTAAATTTTTTAATAAAAGCTGTATTATAACGAAACTTTCAGTAAAATACTATGTGAGTAATCTGAGTATAGAAAAGGAAAAGGGTGGAGTAAGTGACTCCTACTATTATTGACTAGCCTTTAATAATACAAAATATTCCTCTGAGTCTTATTTTATAAAGTAATTTTAAGCACTGATTTTTTTCTTTAAGTGTGTGGAATAAACCTGTCATCCATTCCATTGTAAATTAACCCACTGGCTATAAAATGTCCTTGTTTACTATAATCAGTTCTCAAGTATAACATACTTTTTTCTCAAGAGAAGAAAATATTTTCTTGAGCCTTAAACCTAATACAAATTTTTATATGGATTTTCTATAAAGGATACTATCCTCAGAGCTGTCTCCATAATAAATGCATTGTTGGAGTTGGTAGCCTTCATCCTGCAGGGAAGTTAGTATCCTACTTTGCCTCCTGTAACTCTCAAAATTATCCCACTTTGGAGGATAAAAGTACATGGCCAAATTATTTAGGAAGCCAAGACAGTGAAGTCCCAACATGCAACTGTCTGATGGTCTAACTCAATCTAGAAAAATTAATTGACAACTTGGTCTTTATAGAATTTCTCCTGATTTTGATAAAAAGTGAAAAGGGAACAGTTTTTGACAAAATGGAGAGCTTTATTTAGGTTTGACTGGTTAAGAGGAGAGCTGCTTTCTTCAAAAGTCAGCTTAGATCAAAAGATTTTAAACATACCAATTTAAGGTATTGGGTTAGAAAATGATTTGCACTTTACCATTAATTTTCTCTTCTTCATGGTATTGTTCTTGGCATATATTTGATACTTGTTATAGATGCAAAAACTGAAGACAGTATTTTCCCACTTCTCAGAAGTGGAACTTGAAATACAACTTCAAGCCATTTAAATTCAATGTGTAGCTTTTTAAAAAGTCCTTTTTAAAGAATATTGATGATGATAGGTAGCATTTTTTGAATATTTATGGTGTGTTCTACTCACCCATTGTTTGGGATACTCACACTGTGCTGAGTGCTTTACTTGGGTCCCCTCGTTATGTCTTTTCATGACCCTGTGAGGTGAGGACTGTTCACCATAGTAGATAAGGCAACAGAAAGAGGGTAAGAAATTCGCCCAAAATGGCCTAGCTATATTAGGGTTTAATGCTTGGCAATAATTCCAGGGCCCATTGTCTTATCAGCTAGGCTGCCCTATGTCTGTAGAGGACATAGTATAGTTTGCAAACTGCTTTTAAAAGAAAATTTTTAAAGATTATTAGAAAACAGTGATAATACAGAACTTCTTTTAAAACAGCTTACACTGCCTTTTAAAATAACTGCATTTATAGTTGCATTCTTCACATTGTAGGGGCATTTAAACTATTATGTTTTTAGGAATCTGGGGTATTGGTGTTGCAACTCAGAAAGTTAACTTGAATCAGATTCCTCTTGGCCGAGACGTGCACAGCCTAGTGATGAGAAATGATGGAGCCCTGTACCACAACAATGAAGAGAAAAATAGGCTGCCTGCAAACAGCCTTCCACAGGAGGGAGATGTGGTGGTGAGTTTCCTGGTGAAGTTGCTTTTCTCTGTAAACTATTAAACTTGAACAGCTTTTAACATATACAGTTTTGCCTGGGAGTTTGTGGTTTGAATTCCAGAGCGCTGGGATGGTCTAAAGAAATGATTGTATTTTCCAGACAGAGCACTTGGTTGCAATAAGAGGTTGCAGCCTTACTTAAGTGCCCTCTCCTTTTTAGAGCTGCCTGCTGCTCTCACATTAAAGACACTTTGGCCCACTTTAGTTTTAGAAGTTTGCTGACCCTTACAATAGAAAATGTTAGGCATTTTTGAGGTTAAATATCTCTCAGAAAAAAATTTTCACATTTATTACTTAATTTGTTGTGAACTTCTGTTAGAGAGTTACAGCATTTTATCAAAAGTATTGGGTTTCCATTGAATTTAATCTAATTAAACTGCCTTTCCTTTCAGAACTCTTCAAAGAATAGGATTCAAAATCCTAAAGCTGGATTATAGAAAAGATTTTTTAGAAAGCAGAGGACAGTTAAAAGTTACATGTTATTAAGACTTTTCTTAATTTTACTCCCAGCTAGCTATATTTAACTCTTATCAAAGCCACCATGTTGAAAATATAATCCAAAGGTCCTATCTGTCTTTTCTTTTTTTTTTTTCTTGAGATAGAGCCTCAAGCTGTCACCGTGGGTAGAGTGCCATGGCATCACAGCTCATAGCAACCTCCAACTCCTGGGCTCAAGCGAGTCTCCTGCCTCAGCCTCCCAAGTAGCTGGGACCACAGGTGCCCAACACAACGCCTGGCTATTTTTTGGTTGCAGCCGTCATTGTTGTTTGGTGGGCCCAGGCTGGATTTGAACCCTCCACCTTAGGTATATGTTGGCTGGTGCCTTAGCCACTTGAGCCACAGGTGCTGAGCCAAAAGTCAAATTCTTTTTTTTTTTTTTTTGAGACAGAGCCTCAAGCTGTCGCCCTAGGTAGAGTACCATGGCATCACATCTCACAGCAACCTTCCACTCCTGGGCTCAAGCGATTCTCCTGCCTCCTCCTCCCAAGTAGCTGGGACTACAAGTGCCTGCTACAATGCCTGGCTATTTGCAGCCATCATTGTTATTTGATGGGCCCGGGCTGGATTCGAACCCACTAGCTCAGGTGTATGTGGCAGGCGCCTTAGCCATTTGAGCCACAGGCCTGTCTGTCTTTTACAGACTCTTTCTTTCACACTCTGTTATGCAAAGCCCCTATCTTTAGAGTTCAGGCTATTGATTAAGAACAGCCCTAGAGTCTTCTGCAGCCAGAGGAGTCTCTTATATACAGAACCTTGGATTCCTGGCTCTAGTGTCAAGTAGAAAGGAATCTGTGAATGAGGAGAGAAAGTTTCTAATAATACGATGACACAGACAAGTCCAGGTTAATGAATTAAAGAAAGGTACAGTATTATAGAAAGAATGAAGAAAGGTATGGAAATCAAGATTTTTAATTATGATCTGTTTATCTTTTCTCCAATTAAAAAAAATGAGAATAACAGAAAGATTTTAATTATTAAAAGGTTTTTGTTTCCTGAATTGACTAAAGAAATAGGTAAAAGGCATACACCAGTTTTTTTTGTGTGTGTGTGTGTGTGTGTGTTTTTTTTAGACAGACTATCACTTTGTACCCTGGCTAGAATGCTGTGGCATTATAGCTCATAGCAACCTCAAACTCCTGGACTCAGGCGATTCTCTTGCCTCACCTTCCTAGGTAGCTGGGACTCAGGTGTGCACCACCATGCCTGGCTAATTTTTCTATTTTTAGAGATGGGGTCTTGCTCTTGCTTAGGCTGGTTTCAAACTCCTGAGCTCAACTGATGCACCTACCCTGGCCTCCAATAATGCTAGGATTACAGGAGGTTTTAAAATATGATTTCCCTGTTCTTTTTGTGTAATTGGTTCTGTATGTGTAGCTCATTGCCAAATGAGCTCCTATATGGAACATTCTATTCAACTGATCATTTCTTTTTTTCTTTTTTTTGAGACAGAGTCTCACTTTGTCACTCTCAGTAGAGTGCCATGGTGTCACAGCTCATAGCAACCTCAAACTCTTGAGTTCAAGTGATTCTCTTGCCTCAGCCTCCCAAGTATCTGGGACTGCAGGCACCTGCCACAACACCCGACTATTTTTAGAGACAGTGTCTTGCTCTGGCTCAGGCTGGTCTCAACTGGTGAACTCAGGCAATCCACCCACCTCAGCATCCCAGAGCGCTGGGATTTACAGGCATGAACCACCACACCTGGCCCCAAATGATTATTTCTTGAAAGAGATTATTTCTTTGATGCTTTCAGCCTGTTTACACTAAAAGATGAAATTCAAACACGAGAAAGGAGAGTCACTAACAACTGCTTCTTTTTGTTTGTGTACTCCCATGGGGTGTTATTCTTGCCTTCCTGTCTCATATCATTCATGGCAATGACTGATACCACAATTGGACAAATTTATGAATGCTATTCTTAGTCTGTCAGCATTATTAAGTTATACTTTGAGTTTTCATGCTTATTCTAATAAAAGGAGAGCTAAAATGTGAACTATATGTAGTCAAGGAAAGTAAAATGTTACCATGCCATTTAAATTTTATCTTCTTACTTCAAACACTTGAGAACAAAGTTTGGCAAATTGCTAACAGTGGCATAGGAAAAACAGAATGGATTATAATACAGAAAAAACATTCTCATGTGTTTAGAATTTCAGTCATGTGCCATTCTCTTAGGAGAAATCAAGATAAATAACCTCTTAACCTCTAAGCAAATAGTTGTATGATTATATTCACGCAATAATAGTATAAATCTAGCATGATCTGCTATAGGACCAGGAAAGCATATATGAAACAGTTTATGTTTATTCTTTTCTTTTATATACAATTTTGAAAAGTACAAATTCCATTCTTTTTTTTTTTTTCTTTTTTTTTGAGACATAGTTTCACTTTCTCACCCTCGGTAGAGTACCGTGGCAGCGTCACACTGCTCATAGCAACCTCCAGCTCTTGGGCTTCTCTTGCCTCAGCCTCCTGAGTAGCTGGGACTACAGGCACTTGCCACAACACCCAGCTATGTTTTTGTTGCAGTTTGGCCAGGACCAGGTCTGAACCCACCACCCTTGGCATATGGGACTGGCGCCCTACTCACTGAGACGCAAGCGCTGCCCAAATCTATTCTTAAAAATGCATTTTTCAGTCTAATTTTAAAGAAGTATTGTAAGCATTCTATATAATAGTAGTAATAGCAAACACTTCTACAGCATTTATTATGGGCCGGACACTGATCCTGATAGTATTATTATCCCCATTTTACATATACAGAGAAGTTAAGTAATTTCTTTAATAGTAAGATTATAATGTATCGTTTGGGCAGTCTAATTTCAAAATATGTTCACTAAACATACACAATTATTGATAAATTTATAGAATATATAGGATTTGGGGGTTTTATGACAGACTGAAACCTAGTTGTGTTCTTTTTTTTTTTTTTTTTTTTGAGATAGGGATTCACTCTGTCACCTGGGCTAGGGTATAGTGGCGTCATCATAGCTCACTGCAACCTCAAACTCCTAGGCTTAAGTAATTCTCCTGCCTCAGCTTCCTGAGTGGCTAGGGCTATAGGCACATACCACCAGCCCAGCTAATTTTTCCCTTTTTTGTGAAGACAGAATCTCACTTTTGCTCAGGCTTGTCTTAAACTCGTGGCCTCAAGTGATCTTCCCACCTCAGCCTCCCAAAGTGCTAGCTTTACAGGTGTGCACCACTGCTCCTGGTCTTGTGCTTTCTATTCTTAATTCTTTTTCTTTTGAGACAGAGTCTTACTATGTCACCCTCTGTAGCGTGCTATGGCGTCACAGCTCACAGCAACCTCAAACTCTTGCCTCAGCCTCCAAAGCAGCTGGGACCATAGGCGCCCACCACAATGCCTGGCTATTTTTTGTTCTTGTTGCAGTTGCCATTATTGTTTAGCTGGCCCTGGCAGGCTTCAAACCTGCCAGCCTCAGTGCATATGGCTGATGCTGTAACCACTGTGCTACGGGAGCCAACCCTCTATTTTTAATTCCTCAGGGGAAAAATCTCTTTTTGTCATCAGTTGGTAACTATTGTATAAAGTTCTAAAGAAAGGTAGTATGGCATGGTATTTAGGGTAATAAACCGTAATGGTGAAAAACTCAGTTTTCCCCCACTAAGAGCAAAATCTATCAATAGATAAAGTGTGCAGTGTATTTTGTGTGAGTTTAAAAGATCTTGCCTTCATGGTATGCAGTACTTAATACTCAAAATATAAAATCCGCATTATCTAAATAATGCTCGTATTTAACCTCTTGGCTTTGTTTTACCTATACTGTGGATTCTTGGGATTTCACCTGACCTTTTACCCCCTAATAATCACTACTGATATCTTCTCTAGCTCAGTTAAAGTAGAATTTGTACTGTCCAGCATGAGGTATATGAGGGACAGTGTATCCAGTTGTTTATGGTAAGCTAAAATATTAGATAGATAATGTTAGATATATGTTGACTTTTGTTTTGCATCTATATTAATTTGATAGCTGCAATCAAATGCATTGTGACCCTATACATCGTGTTTTGTGTTTCCATACTTCCTAATCACTGCTTTCTGACTATTCAAGTTTGTATGGAACATCTGTATTTTCTTTCATAGGGCATCACATATGACCATGTAGAATTGAATGTATATTTGAATGGGAAAAATATGCACTGTCCAGCATCAGGTATACGAGGGACAGTGTATCCAGTTGTTTATGGTAAGCTAAAATATTAGATAATGTTAGATATATGTTAACTTTTGTTTTGCATCTATATTAATTTGGTAGCTATCATTCAAAAGCCAGGACAAGTTTTTAATAAGGACCCTTTTATATGGAATGTGTCCAGTAGGATACAGTCCCACTTTGTAGCCTTAAGGATAGTTTTTATTCCCCACATTTAAAAACTTGCTAAATACAATGATGATACTTAAACGTGCAATAACCATACTCTAATTTTCATCATGTAGTCTGACATTCTAGAATGTTTCAAAAAGCTTTACTGAATTTATGGAGCTCTTTCTGCCAGGAAGAATTAGATGACCGGGAAATGTAATTATAAAGAATATTTTGGAAGTATGGGAAAGAATCTTTTTTAGAGTGAACATTAATTAACTCTATATAAATTCCCTAAATGTTAAAGCTCTTCTAAGAGAAATTGTGACTTAGGATAGTTTCATACCAATCATTTTGCTTTTGATAGCCATGTGTAAAACCAAAGTGCTATTGTTTCTGTACAAGAGTGTGCAAGAATTGAATTAAGAAATGACTGTGTACCACTTAATTACTTGAATTTTTATTACAGAAAATTTTAAATACATATAGAAGTCAAGAGAATGGTATAATGAACCTTTGTGTACCATCACAAACTTCAGAGAGCTTTCACCTTGTAACCAGTGGGCTTCATTTCCCTCACAATGAACCTTTCAGTGAAGGTTTTCATTAGTCTTCTTTTTTCCTAAAATTGCTTTTTAGTGACTTTACCTTCCGTGTCTTTGCATGTAAAAGTATGTTTTTAAATTCAGTTGAATTCAGCATTCTTGTATATTGAGTAAACCTAGAAGAAATTCCTTTATTTATTTAAATAAATGGAAATTTAGGGGCAGCACCTTTGACTCAAAGGAGTAAGGCACTGGTCCCATATGCCGGAGGTGGCAGGTTCAAACCCATCCCCGGCCCAAAAAAAAAAAA